CTGAATGTGATAACTGACTATAATAAAATGAAATGAGTTTCATAAACAAACAGGCCATTTGTGGTATTTCCAAGGAAGTAAAATCTGATAAATAAAGTGGTAAATTTAAAGTGTAAAAGACTTTTTTGTTCTTGTTTAGTCTTTGCCAATTCCTACTAGAAAACATTTCTTTATTACAATATATAGATACTTCTTTTCATCAATAATAAGATACAGGAAAGCAAACTTTTATTGACTGATACAATCCTTGCAGATTGTAGCAATTTTGAGAATTACCATGTTAAATATTTTCTTCAAACTTTCAGGTATTAACTAATACACAGTAAATAACTGATAGAGATTTGTCAGAAATTTTGTACCCCCTCTCTAAGCAAGTCTAGATCAACCAAAATGCTTAAGGAATATAGGGCTAAATCCTGCAGGCCTTATATAGGAAAACTTCTTCCTGGATTAGAGGAAGGCTCTTATTAACATAAATGGGCCTTGAATCAGTCCCTTTAGTATGTGCTTAGCATTTAGCATGTGAATAGTTCCATTAAACACAGCTAGTCTGGGAATATATCATGCTATTCATCTTAGGAAAGAGGCAACTAATGGGAAATATGAGAGGAATATAAAATCATGAATGGTGTGGAGAAATTGAACAGCTTTATTTGCTATAGCACATTAACCCGGCTTTGCTTGAGTCCTTAAGAAAGAGCTCAGGGCAGAGGGTTGGGATTGTGCGGGGTGCAGGAGTCAGGGTTGGGGGTTAGAAGGGGCTCGGGGCAGGGGACAGGGATGCAGGAGTCAGGGCAGGGGATTGGGAGTCAGGGCAGGACAAGGGCGATAGGGGCTGTGCTGCCCAACCAGCAACTCTCCAAGGCTGGCCAAGGAAATGGGGTTCATTCTGCTCAGCCGGCGGCTCCCCCAACCTAACCAGGATGGGCCCTGGGGCTATCTGGACCAGCAGGGACCATGCTGGCCAGATGACAGTTTCCCTGAGCTGGCCGGGGCATGCTGGTCAGGTGACATGTCCTTGGGGATGGCTAGTGTAGTGAGGCTGCAGCTCCCCAGAACTGGCCAGGATGGTGGGGGCAGTGCTGCCCAGGCAGCTGCTGCCTGGGACTGGTTGGGATGGTAGAGGTTGCGCTGCCACACTTGTGGATGGCCAGGATGTGGGGGTCATGCTGCCAAGCCAGTGGCTCCCGCTGCTGCCCAGTCAGTGGCTCCTCAGGACTGGCCAGGCGATGGAAGCCATGCTGCCTGGCTAGAGGCTCCCTGGGGATGGCCAGTGTGCACTGCCTGGCCAGTGGATCCCCAGGGCTGGCTGAGGCAGCCAGGCTCGCACTGCCTGGCCAGCAGCTCATCAGCACGGGAAATTTACCAGGGTACGGTGGCCAGCAATATCCAGAGCCCTCCCCACAGTTGGTCTCTCTCTTACTGGTGTGCCTGCCCCACTGTGCTCATTCTGCAGTAGAACTGTACCAGTTAGCAGATCTCTCCCTTCCATTGTATGAGAAACCATCAACTACAAGGAACAACCCATTGTCCTGGCACAACCAACCCCTTACCTTTTTTAAGTTAGGTTAAGAGGAAGCTACGGGCCATATTTGTTACTCCTTGTTCTTACTATTTAGGAGGAGTTCTTGAACAAACAGACTCACAGGCAGACAGATGGATGGACAGACAGGCAGACTCGCACACACAAACACTTTCAAATATATAGTAATGTATCCTTTCACATAACACAAGAACCAGGGTTATGTAATGAAAATAATAATAAAATAAAAACTTCTTCACACAACTCCTTGTCAGCCTGTAGATCTTGTTGCCTGAAGAGATTTTGAAGGACAAAAGTATAACTAGGTTAAAAAAAGAATTGGATAAGTTCATGGAAGAGAGATCCAGCAATGGCTATTAACCATGATAGTCAGGGTTGAAACCCTAAGCTCTGAGGGTACGTCTACACTACAGAGTTTTGTGGAAAAAAACAGCCATTTTTTCCGACAAAACCTGAATTACGTCCAGACTGCAATCACGTTCTTCCAAAAGTAAATCAGAAGAACGGAGGGGGTTTTCCGGTGTTGGTAATCCTCTTTCTACAAGGAAGAAGCCTTTTTTCGAAAGAGCTCTTTCGGAAAAAGGCGTGTGTGGACAGGGAAGGGACAGTTCCTTCGAAAGAAGATGAAAGAGGAAAAAGCACAGGTGCCCTAGGGGCCATTCCATCCATAGTAATCACAGCTGAAATGTGAGAGAGCGACCATTCACTGTGGATGCTATCTTTCGAAAAAGCAGATCGTGTTTTCAATGCGCTTTTGTGTGTGGACACTCTCTTTTGGAAGAAGTTTTTTCAGAAGGTCTCTTCCGAAAAAAGGTTCTTCCAAAAGAATCCTGCAGTCTAGACATAGCCTGAGTGTCCCCAAACCTTTGACTGCCAAAAGTGTACACAGAATGGATCACTCAATAACTGCCCTCTTCTCTTAATTCCTTCTGAAGCATCTGGTACTGGTCACTATCAGAAGACCATTGGTCTGTTTTATTATGGCTGTTACTACTTAGTACAGCTAAGCTTTCATCCTAACTGAAAATCTAATGATAATTCTAAGAAAGGACTTTCTTTTATTTTTAACTAGAAGGTTTGTCTGGCTTTGCTGGGCTCTAAACTGAATTAATTTTTGTTTTTTTGAAAAATAAAATGAAAATGTACATCCTTTATTTGAATCACTGCTCTGGGGTAGAGCTGGGGATGAAGAGTTCAGTATGCAGGCCTGGAGAGAGAGGATTACGTCAACCCTCTCTCACCACAGCAGCTTGGGCCCAGATGAGAAGTGCCTCTCTATGGCCTCTGCAGTTCCAATGGGCACAGCTGAGGGAGGGGTGCATGTCCCCTGGCTGGGGCAGATCCAGGCTTGTTTGACCCCTGTGCTCCCCAGCCAGAGTGAGGAATGCAGCAAATTGAGCATTTACCTTTTGCTCCCTGACGAAGGGGAAGAAGTCAGCAGTGTTCCCATACAAATTGGGGCAAGGGAGATTTGTCCCCCCCCCTTTCGTAAAGGGTGCCTGGGGGGTGGAAAACTCAGGGCTTGAGCAGTCCTGGCAGGAGGGGGCACGCATGCCCTCCAACCAGACCCTGTCATCTGCCTAGTGATTCTGTCTCTTTTCTGTGTGGATTTATGAGAACCAATTCCTTTCCAGGCACATCCCATTTTCCTGGCACAACCAAACCCTAACATTGCATTAAGTTATGGTAAGAGGAAGCTGCATACCAAATTTGGTGGCCCTAGCTCTTACCATTTAGGAGGAGTTCTTGAACAGACAGGTTCTCTCAAATATATACAGGCAGTCCCCGGGTTACGTACAAGATAGGGACTGTAGGTTTGTTCTTAAGTTGAATCTGTATGTAAGTTGGAACTGGCGTCCAGATTCAGCCGCTGCTGAAACTGACCGCTAAGAGGAAGCTGCATACCAAATTTGGTGGCCCTAGCTCTTACCATTTAGGAGGAGTTCTTGAACAGACAGGTTCTCTCAAATATATACAGGCAGTCCCCGGGTTACGTACAAGATAGGGACTGTAGGTTTGTTCTTAAGTTGAATCTGTATGTAAGTTGGAACTGGCGTCCAGATTCAGCCGCTGCTGAAACTGACCGC